ATTAAAGATTAATTTGCCATTTTCCAATAAAGTATTTTGCACGCTTAGTTAAGACTGACCATTAATTCATTAATTTTCGCTTGGAAGTTCTAAGCGATAAAATATGTACATAATTATGGAGCTTATCGTCAACTAAATTATTTTTTGATGTGGTCAACAATAATAATAGATTGACTAATAAGTTTTGAATGAAAAAGCATTTTGAGAGTCATATTATATTATAACAATATAATATATTGAATGATGTAACGCTGATATTTTGTCTACGCAAAATTTTCCACACAAATTCTTGTTTGTAACCACCCCATGTTCAAAATTTCTTTTAAATTACTGTAGGTGTAGCACTCATTAGCTTAAAGCAACATTTTTCATGGTTTCATTTTTCAAGAGTTAATTCAATATGTATTTTATAATTTAATTTTCGAGAGTTGACAACGCTTTGAAAAATATAAAAAACGGGCTATTTTCGTTTAGCTCTAAAATATCGCTCCGCTCCTTAACATGTATACATTTATAATATATATATCTTTTTCAAATACTATAATACAAAGCTGCAGCGCAAAGTTCATAAAAAAAACTATTTTTATTGGTATGATCAAGAAGTCTGACGTCAGAATTAAATCTGTGTTTAATTTACAACATAACATTTTTATATAGCTTTACAAAACACTTTGTGCCATATAAGACCTCAATTATTTGTTTATAATAATATATTCTATCTTATAAGTATAGAAAAAGATGGTACAATATCAAAAGAAAACAAACACATAAATCGGCTCTCAATATCGTTTGGCTTTTTTATTTATTTTTTAGCCGTTGTCAATTCAACGTTTTGACCACGTATATGGATAGATTTAGTATATATATATATATATATATATATTATTAGAAAATATATTAAATGAACAAATGTTTAAAAAATGTAAAGTGGGGTGGGTATGTTACATGAACGAAAAAACCAAACTAACTCGTCCAAAAAATTAACAGTTTTATTAATTTTCTTTAGCATGTTATAATATGGAGCATAATTTTGATCCACCTTCGGTCCCCATAGCGCACAGTAACAAGCAAATCGACGACACTGACATCTTGGTCAGGGACATAAGCAAACTCCATCCAAGCGACATGTATGTGAAATTCAGTTTGTTCCTATTAACTGTAATATTTTTATAATCTAGCACATTTATCTTGTATACAGTTATTTGATACCATACCAAAAATAATTTCAACTTTGTTAAAATGATAAAATGTTATACCTGTAAATGTAAGCTTTTAGTGTGTCCTGTTTTTCTAGTTTTAGTCTATTAATTTCAATTTGATTTAAAGTAGGTAGTACACAAAGTGTAACTATTAATGCTAATAAGAAAACTAATATTGAACAATATAATTGATTGACCTGTCGAAATAAATAGGTTTAACATATCTCTCATCTCGCCTTCGGTCTCCAAACCACATAGTAACAAGAAAATCGGCGACACTCGCAACTTAGTCGATTATATAAGAAATCTCTATCTAAGTGACAGGTATGTGGTTTTGAGTTTGTACCTTAAATATATTATTTTCATAATTTAGTACGTTTATCTTGTATACAGTTTTTTGATACCATACCAAAAATGTATTCTACTCTGTTAAAATTATAATGTTTTCTACTTGTAGAAGAAAGCTGTAAGTGTGTTCTTTTTTAGTCTAATAATTGTATAAAGTAGGTAGTGCACAAAGTGTAACTATTAATGCTTATAAGAAAGCTATTATTGAAAAATATAATTGATTGACCTGACAAAGTAAATAGGTTTAATTTTTCTCCCATCTCATTTCTTTATCTCCTTCCAACCCTAAATTATTCTTTGCTTATATAATTTTCTATTTTAAACTAGTGACTTGTTTCAGATTTTCAGATGTTATTTTGGTTGTAGATGGAGAACGATTGCCCGCTCATCGAAGTGTTTTAGCCTCACGCTGTGAATATTTTAGGTATTCAATTCTTATCATTAGGCATATTTCCTTAGACTATAAATCATGGGCGTGTAAAAACTAGTTGTTTTATTATTAATGTTTTTTTTCTTGTTGCTTACACCTGACAGTTAAGCATAAACTGAATATTTATTAACCTACCTATACTTTCTGGTTCATTATGACCTAATATGGGAACCGTTTTTTTTTTAAATACTTCCACTTATTTTAATGATGCAGCTGTCTTAATAATTATGAAACTAAAGGGAACATGCCGATAAACGTTTTTAAAATTATGAAAAAAAAAAATGTTTTATGTGTTTAAACTCTCCAATAACAATTGCTTTTATCATTTCAAAAATAGTATAATTAATATCAAGTAGATCATAATAATTATCATGCTCGCTCCTGAAAAGGGTATCGTTTTTATCGTTTTACTCCATAATTTAATGTTAGAAGTGATAATGTGTATTTTTTTAGGGCATCTTTTAGTGGAAAATTTAAAAAAACCAATGATGTGGAGGTGACAATAACTGACGCACCATTAACGTTGTTTAAAATCCTTCTCGAATATATTTATACTGGTCGAATAAATTTAAGTGGTATTGAGGTAACAAATAATCGTAGTACCTTAATGGTTATTAAATGGCACAAATCTAATATTCATTAGTGTTATGTGACCGCTTGTCCAATAGTATGTGTATGATCTATTAATGAACAAAGAATTAACACATATTTACTTTTTATTTTTTAGGATGGAGACATTTTCGAATTAGTAAGACTTTCGGATTTTTTTGATATTTCAAACTTGAATCTTTCACTTCACAAGTGTTTGCAAAAAAATATTACTGTACAAAATGTATGTTCGTTTCTTGAGTTGGCTCGAAATTATCAATACAAGGATCTCGTAGACGAATCACTTAACCTTATAGACGAAAACGCTTTTGATGTATTGCAATCTGAAGAATTTCTGTCTTTGTCACCCGTAATGTCTTTTTAAATAAGAAATATATATTGTCCGTGTTAGATGAAAACATAAGAAATAATTTTTATTTAGGACGATCTTCAAGAAATTTTCCATCGTGACACGTTTTATGCTGACGAATTATTTATATTCCGTGCGGCATGTCGCTGGATCAAGAAAAACCAAAACGAACTCGATCGTGGTACTAAAATCAATGTTTTATCAGCTGTCAGGCATGAGTTAATGAGTGTCGAAGAACTGTCTGAGGCTAAGCAATCACAACTGGTTAGTTTGGATATAATTTCAGATGCAATTAAATTTAGAAACACTTGGTCAACAGATAAGCCTCAATTTCGAGGACAGCTAAGTATGCTTGCTGTACACATCAATTTGTATTTCTCAAATTATGTTGGTTTTAATTATGTTGTATTTTAGAACCCAATAAAAATCTTAAATATAAATCTAAGAGTATTCCACATACCGATTACCATGACGAAGGTACTAATATGATAAAGTTGAGTACTCCATCAACTATAAACTATATGGAAATAACGGAATGGTATGAATATAGAATAGATCAAATAAAGTATGTTTTTAAATTATAAATATTTTTTATTGAAATAGCCGTCACTTAATAAAAACTGTGTTTAAATAATAAATCTAAACATTTTAAACTTTATTTCATGAATTATTCGCTTTTTTTAAAAACGTTTATTTGTCAAGATATTATTTTAATTTTATTTTAAGCAATCCATTTTGACAATGAATATTATATTTGTATTGTTTATTGTTAATTAGTTGTCTATAACATAGTTGTCTTTTATTATTCAAACACTTTTTTCACAAATCTTTTTTTATCGTTCAATTTTTATACTTTTTTACAAACTAGCTGTTTCTCGTATTACATTGAAGTTTCAATAAATGGGCAAAATTGGGTGCGTCTTATAGATCATTCAAATTATAATTGTCGAACATTTCAATATTTGTGGTTTCATCCACGCCTAGTTCGGTATATACACATTGTTGGAACCAATAGCACTGCTAATAAGATTTTTATATTTTGGCAAGTCATGTACAATACAGAAGATATGCATAATGTGGAAGTAAAAAATGGATTAGTCGGTAAGAAAGCGACTGAAGTAACTCATATTTTAATTAAATAAAAATGATAAAACATTTTCATTTATATTTGTTTAATTTACTAATTTTAATCAAGTTCCCAAGTTCGGTTATAATGTCAGTTCAGAAGATTTGAGAGCTTTTGTAATCAAAGGTAGAAATAACTCTAATGATGGTTCGCTAGTAGAGAGTTACAAAGAAAGCAACGCTAGAAAGGACAGATACACGTATCATGTGCTGGGATCGGGTGGTATAGTGGTTCAACTCGCACAACCATATATACTTAGTTCAATGAGGTAACAGTATACATATCTTGCAATTTTTATACCAATCTCTTCACTATGCTGATCAGACACACATAAGCCTTCTTTGGGCAATCTCTATTTTTAATTCTAGTCGTCGGAATGAATTTTTTACACGATTTATAAATAATTTCTCAAAAAATGTTCACTCAAACTGTGAAGTATCGTTTCTTATTTCCTTCTCAGAGCCCAAGTCTCCAACCCGTAAAAACAGTCTTTTAACTTTACTTTTTTTCTTGATAAACGTATAAATGTAAGTATTCTTTTTTTTTTTAATACAAATTGATCTGTAGTTCATTAAAACAATTGGCAATATAAATGAATAATTTTTACATAAACAAAATTAAAAAATAATACCGATCTGTAAAACAATTATGATAGTTTTAGTATCTTTGATAATAAAACTATAAATACGATTTTATTGTTAGCAGCATTTTTAGGCTTAAATCAATCAAATATTACACTATTAATAAGTTCCAGTAAAAAAAATAAACAAATAATATTACATTGTTTCATTAGTTTTTTAAAATATTTTTTTATTTTTTTTTTTAAATTGATTTATCATTTTGTTATGATTTCTTTCGCCACCTAGTAAAATAAAGTGTTTTTTATAACTTTTATTCATAATTAAACTAAGACATTATGATGATTGCCATAACTGACAGGTTGCTGCTTTGGGATGATGATGCTTGCAGTTATACTGTTGATGCTTCAGTCGATAATAAGGATTGGGAGAGAATTGTAAATAAATCTAATGAGCTGACGCAATCTTGGCAGGTATTGAAATTTACACCCAGGCCGATACTCTACATTCGTATTACTGGCGTTAAATGTTCAGCAGGCAGTGTAAGTACAATTGGTTTATGTGTTTTCTTAAACTTTTAATAACACTTATATGTTGTAGGTTTTTCGTGTTATATATTTGGAAGTTCCCGCTCAAGTAACATTAGATTCCAACGTCGTTGGACGTTTGCTATGAATTAAAAATATTATTATCAAATTACTTTTTTCTCTTATACGTATTTGTTTTTGTTTTATTTAGTTAATGTAATTAAATTTAAGAATTATCACATTGAGTAAAGTTAAATGAAATTGTATACAATAAATGTAATAATTGTGGGACAATTTAATAAGCCAACTGTTTTATTATTGTTTTGTCCTTACTTGCCTTGTAAAATGTTTGGAATTTTTGAATATTTATTATTTGATATTAAGTGGTTTAAACAACTATATTGTCCAAATTTGTTGGACCATTTGTGCCTATGTTAGTAAATTGACAAATCTGTGGAGACTGGCTGGCTTGCTTGTTTTGCACTATATGTGTCCTGTACTTTTGATACTTAATATATTGTACTTAATATAATACGTTTACATCTATAGATGAACAATTGGAGTAATATTTAAATAAAAATAATTATTATTGAAAATAAAGAAATATAATCAAATAACAAACATTTTTATCCCAATTCCCAACTCTAACTCCAACTCCATCCCCATCCCTAATCTCTTATGTCTAATCTCAATATTTAGTACCTGACCCCCAGCCATATACCACATACAAGCCAAATGAAATACATTTCTTATTAAATCCTATGGGATATCCAGTTGATCAAGATAAAATTATCCCTCTGTATTTATATGTCTAGCTAGAAAACATGTAATAATAACTTTTTCCATTATTATTAATTACTAGATAAACTCAGAACAATGAATATGTAACAAAAAAATATATATCTTTTTACTTATTACCAATTGTTTATATATATTATGTAATTACTATCATTAGAAAATAAATAAAAATAAAAAAACTGTAATTTTTTTTTTTTTTTTTAAATTGTATTTCAAAATAATAAAAATGAATGAAATAAATGTAAAGAAAGCCTAAAATGTAAATTTAATGATTATAAAAGATTTAACATATTTAAGCCGAGGAGATCGTCATGTTGTTACAGGATACAGAATAATATGTGGCAATAATATGTAAAATACAAGTGATAAACTGTAAGCGGCGCTCACTTTATCGGTACAGTCAATTTTGTTCACTGATAACTCCGGAGGCAATAGAGTTAGGGGCTTTTTTTTTTTTATAATTATTTGTAAACTTGTTATTTGAAGGTAATAATAGAATCAAGCCAATTAACAAACATTTATAAGACTGGCATTCAAAACTCTACATTTATTGTATACAGTATCACATAATTTACACAATGAAACAATTGAAAAATTAAATTACATTAATCAAACACAACAAAAACTAAAATGTATAAAATAGATTAAAGTCATTTGATAATAATATTTTTAATTCATAGCAAGCGAGTGACTAACTCAAATATGCTTATATTTCAAATTTAGTTACTGGAGCTTTAATCGTTTGGTTGGCCTCCTGAAAACAAAAATGTTCGTTCAATTTTAGACATATCAATGATAAAAACAAAGAACATTATAGTAAACTAACAAAAGCAGTTGTCAAATTTGACAAGACTAACCTGTCACTTGTTATCGCACGATCGTCTTCAACATCGTTGGAATATAAAGTTACTTGAGCGGGAGGCTCCCAAATATATTTTTGTTTTAACAGAATAGACTACGTTTTGGGCTATGGTATTTTTAAAATATATACAAAACAGACGTGCTAAATGTTGAAAAAAACAAAATCAATCTGAACAAATTTCATATCGCATACCTGTCGCTAAGATATAGGTTGCCTATGTCGCTGACCATGTAGTGAGTGTGGTCAATTTGCTCTTTTTTGTTTGCTTTGGGAGACGAAGGCGGAGTATCATCATCGATTTTAGAACATGCTAAATAAAATTAATAAAACAGGTTATATTCAGATCGAGTTTGATGGTTTATTTTTCATGTAGCATCCACCTACCCGATTTTACATTATTTAACCTTTTGTTTATATAATAATTTAAATAATATAATTATGATAGTTTTTCACGCGTAACAGAATGGTTATGATGAATGGTTACTATGAATAATTTTAAAAGCAAGTCATCAGAGTTCACTCTAAAATAATATAATTTTACCTTAAAAATAATTAAAAATTTAAAATTAACCTCTACCCAAGGGTAATTTAATTTTGTATTTTTACTAGAATATTTTAGAATCGTTGATATCATTTTAAAAATATCTTAGTTATACAATATTTAATTTGTTTAGGGCCATTAATTATATATCCAAAACATTTTAGTTAATATTATATTAAATTAAGTATTAAAAAACATTCAATTTTTTTTCAAGTAAATTTAATTTTAATTTTCACAAACGTCAAAATTCCATTTAAAGTATTTTGTTATTTACTAGTTAATAGATTCTCTTGTAAAGTTTGTGATCACACGTATGAACGTTATGATCTATTTATCCATTTTTATTTTATAGGTCGAGTCTCTCGTATAACATAAAAAATTTGTTGACTAAAAACTAACACTATATCAATAATAAAATAGGAAAACAAAAGGATTATGGTGCGAATAGAAGCTTCTAAAAAAAAAGGATACTATAACTAACTTATCAAACCAACCTAAAGCAAAAATATGATAAGTGACAGCCGTGCAGTTTAAAATACATTATGTATTTGAAGTAGACTTAAAAAAGATAAAGGCTAAAAATAAATAAAGAAGTCAAATGATACTGAAAGCTTATTTTTTATTATTTAATACTGCATTATCTTTTTCTATACGCCTAAGGATATACAAGGATATAATAAAATATATACGTTACCATTTAAGTTTCAAAAGTTGCTAAAAAAAAACTCAGTTTAGAGGGGGGTAAAAACAAAAATATTTTTGATAAATTGACATCAAATCGTATAAAAACAAAATGAAAAAAAAAAATGTATGTCTTATTAAACCGTATGAGTTATTGAGTGCTTCACGATCAGTGGATCACCCTGTATTATAGAAATATAATTGAGTTCACGTATTGTGCATGACTTTTTGATAAGCTTCACAAACATGTTATTGTTTTATAACGTTTAAAACTACAAACAGCTTGAATCTACCGTAAGTCTTATATATATATATATATATATATATATATATATATATATATATATATATTTATATTTATATGTTTAAGACCGGAGCGATATTTTAGAGCTAAACGAATATAGCCATTAGAGTTTTAAGTATTATCCAAAGCTTAATCAACTTTTGAAAGTTAAATATTAAAATATATATTAAATTAACTTTTAAAAAGTGGAATTCGTTCCAAAAGCCGATAAAATTCTAAATCTTACCAAAAAAAGATACAAATTGAAATATTTATATGTATTTGGGCTGGTTAAAAACCAAACATTTGTCTGGACAATTTTGCGTACACCAAAAAGCGTACCAATAAGCTGGTTTTTTCTTCAAAACTTATATTATGTCTGTTTATAATCAATATTGTGCAAACATCGATATACTTTAGTTAGCGATAAGTCCCATAATTATGTACAAGACGTATCGCTCAGTGGTGTTGCGATAAATTTATAAAGAAACAAAATTATTTATGTATTAATAAAGTATATTATTTGTTACCTGGAGTTGACCATAGAATAATATAGGCTAAAAAATAAATCAGCATGGTGTTGTATACGTATATGATAACAATTGTAGAACACTATACAGTAATGCTTGTTAAAAGATACCTATCGACAATTAAATATAAATATGTAGTTTTATTACAATAGTGTAAAAACGTTTTGTATATTTAACAGTATACAATAATAACATGTTTATACGCCTTTACAAGAAACCGTACAACCAAAGTAAACACAATGAATTTTTTTAAACATTTGACGTTAAGTTTAGAACACAAGTATTGTAAGCTTTTGTCAAAAAACTACATGTTTGAATTTCAATATCTGCTGACAAGTTTTTTTTTATATTGTTTTATAAAGTATTCAACATTTGAGATTATATTTATACATAATTTAACACGATGATTAATTATTTTTTAGCCATTATTATATTACGGTCAATTCCAGGTAAACCATATATTTTACTAATAAATAAATAATTTGTTTTTTCTTTAAAATTCAATTGCAGCAATTATAAAGCGTTATCTTCTGTACATAATTATATAACATATCGCTATCTCAGGTCTTTTTTTTGCTCACTAGTAACAACAAATAGAATAATAATTTTGGAAATTCAATTAGGCAATGTTCTTATTGACCTGATATAATGTCTATTATAAAATCTAGAAAGATTAAAGATTAATTTGCCATTTTCCAATAAAGTATTTTGCACGCTTAGTTAAGACTATCAATTATTTCATAAATAATCGCTTGAAAGTTTTAAGCCTTAGAATATGTACATAATTATTATGGATATTATGGATCATATTATGGATGTTATCGCTAACTAAATTATTTTTTGATGTGGTCGATAATAAAAATGGATTGAAAAAATTTTTGAATAAACAAGTATATTGAGAGTCATATTATTATATAATAATGGAACATATTGAATGATGTAACACTGATATTTTGTCTACGCAAAATTGTCCACACAGATTCCTGTTTGTAACCACCCCTATAACATATCCATGTTCAAAATATCTCAAAAATACTATAGGTGGAATACTCATTAGCTTTTGCAACATTTTTCATGGTTTCATTTTTCAAAAAATAAATTAATATATGTTTTATAAATTTAATTTAACTTTCGGTAGCTGAAAGCACTTTGGGAACGTTAAGAACTCTGCAGACTATTTGCGTTTAACTTTAAAATATCGCTGCGTTTTTTAAATTGATATATAAATATATTTGTATGTATTTTTTTTAA